GAGAACCAGCATTGGACAGAAACAAGCCCTCTGAATGTGGGTGACAGTTAGGAGGCCTGGGCAGTCTATAGGACCTCTGACAGTGGAACCTGTATTTATCCCTAGTGCACGAATGGACTTTTGGAGTCCATTCCCCATGGAGGGCTACTCTGTCAGCCTAGATACACCGGGGAGGGCCTAGGCCCTGCCCCAAATATGACAGACTTTGATGGTCCCACGTGGAAGGCCTCACCCTCCCTGGGGAGTGGATGGGGAGTGGGAAGGGGGGGCAGTGGGGGGAATGGAGGGATGGGAAGGAGAGAGAACTGGGATTCATATGTAAAATAAGATTGTTTCTAAATTTAAAAAAAATTAAATAAATTTGATGTCAATCATGGAAGAAGAAAAAAAAAAGAAATTCACTCTTCCAAAATGAAGCCTGTGTTGACATAAAATTTAGCGACAACGTGTCAGTAATCAGGAGATGTATCTAACTAAACTTTTCATTTATTTATTTATTTATTTATTTATTTTGGTGCTGGGGGTGGGACCTAGGGCTTGAGCATGCTAGTCACACACTCTTCCACTGAGCTACATCCCTAATCTCTAGACTGAAGTATTTACTTCCCAGAATAAAGATTTTATCTCTAGTTTGTTTCTCTTTCTCTCCTTCTCAAAAAAAAAAAAAACAAAAAACAAACAAAAAAAAAAACTAGAGAAACGTTTTCAATTAGAAAATAGATCATTGCTGCTGTTTGGTCCTTTGTTGTGCCTAGAGCAGATACCCCTCAGTCAAAAGGTTAACAGCCTTTTAATGAAAAAACATACATGGATCAATAAACACAAATGATTTCCTCTTTAAAATATAAAGACATTTCTAATCAAGTAAGAACTGAGAGAATGCACCATTAACACAGGCTTAAAAATAAAATAGTAACAGGAATTCTTCAGACAGAAGGAAACCAATCCCAGGGTGAACTATGGAAAGGATGGAAGAGCAATGAAAGTGAATGTCTGGTGAATCTCAGTGAAGACTGACAGCATAATATTAATATTGTCAAATGAACAGAGACTCAAAATGATGAGCATAGCAAATGGTCAGAAAGGGCAAGAGAATGAAAGAGTTCTGAAGCCCTGAGGGGTGAGAAATACTAACGTAATGTTTCTTGGGCTCTCATAAATCCAGAAGGCAATGCTGAAAGCCAGCACACACCCATCATCTCAGCGCTTGGGGTTGTGGTGTGCAGGGGAGAGTTGGAAGTCAGTATGAAGTACATGGGGTGAGTCTGCCTTTAAGAATGAAGTGGCAGCTAAAGTTAAAGGAGGAGACGGGTTTTGAGTAAAAGGCCAGTTTGGGGCGGAGTGAAAACAAGGCCAGGTGAACTATCTGCAGTGCAAACCAGAGCACCTGCGTGTGTATCTGCAACACTCAAGTGAAAACCCAAGTCCGGTGGGGCATATCAGGAACCCCAGCACTGGAAAGACAGAGACAGGAAATCCCTAGAGCTTGATGACCAGCTAACCTAACCAAATAGTAAAAGACTGTCTTGAAAAACAAGGTGGAGAGCAATGGAGAAGGATTCCCAGTGTCAACCTCTGGCCCCCTCATACACGCACACACATGTCCAACCATATGTACCTGTACACACACACACACACCTATACAGGCACAGATGCTTGGAGTTTAAAAGATCAAGGAAGAAGAGACAGATATAAGGCAGATGGTATAGAAGATGAAAGGGGTGGAACGTAGAAGGCAATGAAGTCACTTATAAAAACTAAACCACTAAAAGCAAAGCAGGTGATACAAATACCAAAGAAACAGTAAGATAATAGGTAAAGGCAAGTACATTAGTAATTAAATATAAATATATACAACACTCCAAAAACTAAATACTTCCTCGTGTAAACACCACAATCTGCATTCCACAGGAGAAGACCTCCAGGCACAGAGAAGTTGAATAATTTGTCCTGATTGGCCAACCATTAAGTCACAGTTGCAGGGTTCAAGCCCAGCAGCTAGCCTCCTCTGCACAGATCCTGCCTACCATCCTGCACCCCCACCACTCTAGGTCACCCCTCCTGCAGCCTGCACCCAGATTCCTACAGCAAGCTCCTAATTCCTTGGGTACCACATTGTTGTCATGGTGACTGCACAATGGCACAAACTGGATCTCATCTTTTCCCCCAAATTAAACTGTTCCTGATTGTCATTTACTTTAGAACAAAGGTAGCAAATCATATGAGGTTCCTTTAGATGGTTACTCCTCCCTTCTACTGCTTCTTGCCCTACATGCCAGGAAGGGTGGCTTCTAGAAAGTAGTTTCCCTTGGGTGGAATGAGAGCTATTCTGCAAGGCCTTCAGGGTTAGCCCCTCCTCCGTCATAATTCCAATGATAGCAAACACTCACTCAACCTTTTCTCTGTCCAAAACAGTAGGGCAGGCTTAGAAAGCATCCTTCCCCTTCATCTTCACAACTCCACCCCCTAGACAGAAAGGTTGACTCAGACAAGTCAGTTAGCCCAGTAGTTCAGGGAGTCACCACCATGTGCCCTCCTTTAAGAGGAAAAAGAGCAAGCAAATGCAGCAGGCCAGCTCCCTGAATCTCCCTCAGGCATGCGTAGCTCCAGCCTATTGAGTAAAATGCAGAACACACAGTAGAGAGGAGGTAGACTGTAGCATGGACTGCAAGTTTGAGAAGGCAGTCCAGGAGGGTTCTAAAGCAAGGCCATATTTAGGAGATGATGTGAGGGTGAGGAAATGGACCCTCTGGGTGTCTCAAAGCTAGGAGGCAGAATGTCTCGAGGAACAGCATGGAGGGTGGTGCTCAAATGTCACACTCACTATTTTGACCCTGTGCCTATATCCTCGTGCTGGACCACAGAGACAGTGCTACGAGAAGGAGCCTGGACTCTGCCTTGGAATGATAGAAAAGTGTCATCTTCCCTCATGTGACCTTGTATGAACCAGAGGCTGGTGAGGCCCATCTGCATTCTGTATACCACGATGTTTTGAGGCATAATCTAGGAGACAGAATGAATCCTTGGAACTGGAAACTGGATCTGAGTCTCTGTTTTGTTTTGTTTTTTTTCATAAACAAAGGGGAGACCTAGGAAATATCACATGCTTAGTCTTAATATCAAAGTCTCATATTACCTTTGACTCAAAAAAATGGGAGGGCTGGAGAGTTGGTGCAGAGGTTAAGGGCACTTGTTGCTCTTGCAGAGGACCAGGTTCAATTTCCAGCACCCATAAGGTGGTTCACAACCATCTGTAACTCCAGTTCCAGCGGAATCTTGATGGGCAGCACCAGGCATGGACATGGTACACAAACATATGTGTAGGCAAAACATTCACACACAAAAAATAATACAGTAAATAAATTCAAATTTGAAAAAGAAAAATGGGGCTGATTAAACCAAAAGAGCAAGCCAAATTAATGACACAGCTCTGAAAACCATAAATAACAGGGAGATGTCCACTGGACTACATAAGCAGCATTTGTCACGGAAAGGAGATCCCTTGTCTTCCCTGTGTAGTGAATGTTGACAGGGAGAGGAAACTGTGATGGTGACCCAAGATCTAGTCAAGACAGAATCCCAAAGGGCTCTATGAGGTAAACCCTTCCCACCAGATCAAAGTCCTGGACAATCCACATGGAGATGCCAAAAAAAGGGGACAGCCACAGGCAAAAACCAAACATCTGTTGAAGTCTGGAGCCCACCTGGGGAAGGGGCATTGACTTGGGATGACAGGTTTTCAGCCACTTCCTGCTGGCTTAGGCCTCAAATCTCTCATGGGGGCTTTAATACAAAGGGCAAATGGACCAGGTCAAGGGGCTTTGCCACATCTTTGCTTTCTTCATGAAGACATCAGAGGCTAAGACGTGTTTGCAGACACTGAGCATCCAAGTATTTGAAAATAGCCCTCCAAATTCAGTGGGGACAAAGTGGTCTTTAAATATTTGTGCAAATATTACATCTATATATTTTATGATACATGAACATTTGCATGCATAATGAAATTTCTTTAGCAAACAGTGTGCTGTGGTTAAGCTAAAGGAAAAATCTTACCACTCCAAACTAGAGGAGGAGGTTAAGTGCTGTTTTGTATGACCCGGCATGTAGTCTGCCCCAACCCTGCCGTGATGCTGGGCTTCCATGGCACTCACTTCTCTGGGAGAAAAAGCTAGCTGAAGTATTTACACGATGAGCAAGGCCTGCTCAGAGAGGCTATTCTCAACTCATCCCAGGCATTTCCACCCTCAGTTAAGAACTGGTAAACTGGACTTTTAAACTACACTGGAGAATGTTGAGCTCTATTGCCCCCAAGTGGTCATAAGTGATACGACACCCTGTCTTTGTGGGCAAAACAAAAACTCAGAAGATGGTTAAAAGCCAGGTACTGAGAGGCTGGAGAGATGCTCAGTGATTAAGAGCATTGGCTACTCTTCCAGAAGATCTGGGTCCAGTTCCCAGCAGCCACACAGTGGATCAAAGCCTGCAGCAACTCCAAATTCCAGGGGATCTAAGAGTCATTTCTAGCTTCCCCCAGTAGGCAGAGGCAGAGTGGTGTACCTTCACACATGCAAGCAAAACACTCATATACATAAAATAAAAAATAAAACAGGTACTATGTGTGTAAGGGGTGAGAAAAGGCTGGGGAAAGAATACTTTTTATGCTACAATTTTCTCTCATCACCAAAGAGGAGCAATGAAGAAAACCTGTTGGAGGTGAGGCAGAATGTGAGCTCTTTCTTGCCCAGCTATGTAGCTCAGGGCAAATAGTCTCTTATCTCGGACCAGGAACACTGAGTAAGTACACATGTGATCTTTTTACACAGGCATTGCATGAAGGAATTTGGCCAGACTGCATGATAGTATCCTGTAACTTGATGCTTTTATCTGAAATGCTGCAATTTTAAGACATTTTGTTGTACAAATCGATGCAGTACAAATACTAGTCGATTAAAAAAAAAAACTGGTGTGGCAAGGGGGAGAAAAGAAGAGTATGTCTTGAAGAAGGCATCATGTAATAAATTTATTATGTTTTGTTACATTTTCCAGTTTTCTCTTAATTCCAATTGTATACTATATAACCAACTGCTGTCTCAGAAATAAAATGTTTTAAACATAAAAATATAAATTCTGCTTCTTAAAAGTGCATACACCTGGAATAGTAAAATATACAAATAAATAACAGAAGGCAGTGACACACCTCATGCACTTGACCTAAAATAATTTAAAATGTAGGATACACTTTCTTCCAGCCTGAAGGATAGATACTCTGCCATCCTTTCACTGAACAATTTATATAGAGCTCATTACTGGCTCTCGAATGACACCAACTCATTTTGTGTACAGTGATATGACATGCAGCTTTTAAGACACCTAGAGAAATAAACACCACTTTAAATACACAAGAGAATCAAGAAACCATTTTGGAAACGGGGCCTGAATTCCATTTTAACCAATGGTGAGAGGCACAGTCGGTGAGCTGACCTACACAGAACATAAATGCCTACAGGAAAGACCACAGAACCGCAAGTGCAGAAACACAGTCCCCCAGTCTGGAATAGCACCTAGGAAAGTTCGTGCTGCGTGTTCACAGCAGCAGAGAGCTCGACTCTGGGAGGCTGTGCCAAAGCTGTTCCAGCTCTGATTTCTCCTGATATCCTTACTCCTGAAAATATGGACCGTGCCAGATAAACTGTTTCTTTTCCCTTTTTGTAGGCAGCCTGATGCTCGATGGGATGAGGCCACACAGCACAGTAGATTATTTTGAAGATGATATAGTGCACCCAGCTCACCACAGATTAAAAACAAACTTTATGTGCCTCTGTAGGTAACATATACTGCCAAACTCCTGGATAAGTATTGATTTTTTTAATTACATTAAAATAAAATAGTAATGAGAGCTCCGAAATAATTCGAACAAAATGTTTCACATTTGTTTTTAAACTTAAAAGGACTCCTAATGCTATGTTCTGAGCAGGAAAGACCTAGTGTGGAGTGCAATCTGAGCAGGGGGCCCAGTGCAGCCTGTGGCTTGCAACCGTGCTGTCAAAAGCAGAACAGGGTTTGCAAGGCTAGACGGGTGCTTCCTACTGTCTTCCGCCACATTTTCTAATCTGGAGTGACTTCCCTCCTGCATGGGTGTCAGACTACAGTAGGATCTGGAGAGAGGCTCTGGGAATGAATTTGGAACCCTTGTGGCACTCTACCACCAGGAAGTAAGATCAATTGCCAGACTGGCAAGTGATATGATGTATCACCCATAAAATGCTTCATAGGTCCAAATCAGGCCTTGAAGTCAGAAAACACCATGTCCCCTGAATTTCAAGCAGGGGATTGACACCTTCTTTTAATTTTCTTGTCCAACACAACTGGAATTCCTCCTGAATACTTTGCATGGCAGTGATGATTCTCGCCATAAGCTGTTGGCAAAGAGATGGCGTACCACATCCTTAATTCTGACTGCAACCAAAGACAAAGTCACACACAGGACCCGGCCAGTGCTAACTGGCACCAAAAGCCTGGGAGAGGCCCAGACATTCCAAATCCCTTGATGATACTAGTGACTTCAGGTGAATCATCCAGAACAGGCCTGGAGATAATGTATGTATGAGATTCGAAGACACCTCTCACATACGATATGAGCCTCCCTGTCCCTGCCCCATGGGAAACAATGGTTTTAAATGAATGTTAGATGGATCTAGACCTGAATCCATTACACAGCACTATCATACATGCCACACCCTTAATCTTACTGAGAATGGTGGTTGGGAAGCCACAGAACCTTCCTAAATAGCTCCAAGTCTCTTCAGAAGCATTTAAAAATTGTTAGCACTATGTGAAGCCACATCTCTCCTTGTCATGAAGGATACTAGAAGATATAAAAAATTAAAATCTATAGAAAATGGCAGGTTATTTCTTAGAACAAAATACTTTAGGAAAGTCTTCAGGCTAAATACAGTATATACACCAGTGTATGTTCAACATACTCAATCCATTCCTGCTCTCAAAATATTATTTTATACACAATCTCACCAATGATCAAAAAGATTGGCAGAGAAATAGACACAAAGCAACCTAAAATTCACATTCATGCTCACCTACACTGATGACTAAGCCACATTTTAAAAATTACAAATTCAAAAATAGAGTTCCAGAATCCGAGTTGTCTTTTTTCTTTTTTAAAACCCAATGTTTAGTGTAGTCTCTCTGTATGCTTTTTAATTGGTTGCTTGCATAGGTAGTATGAGCATGCTTTCTGGGTTAGATGGAGGGCATGCAAAACTGCTGTCTTTACTTGGGGGTCATGCTCAAAAGGCAGCTGCAAAAAACAATTTGGGGTCTGGTCAAAAGGCAGCATAGGAGCATTGAAATAACGTTTCAGGTGGGAAATAAAAAGAATTATGTCCCATCTGAAAGGTGCAGTCAGTTGGACAGCAACGAACCCTTTATAAAACTAAAGCAAGAACAGCCTGCATACTAGCAGCTAAGTTGTTTTTATGGTAGGCACTAGTTTATCAGCAAATTTTGCTCTTCTCAACCCTAAAATATAAGTATCAATGCACCTCCAAACTGTATTTTATTGAAACTGTGCTTATGAGTTTCATCCTAGTTCAAAAGTCCAACCCAGGACACTAACTATGTTTGTATTCAATGACAGTCTACACAGCAAACAGTAACTTCAGCTATTTAATATCTATCAAATTGAGACATGATGCCATGTGTTCATCTACTTCAAGAGGCTTTATCCAAAATGAACTTTGTTCACAACTCTTTAGTCCATATTCCCTTAAGCTGTCACTACTGCTCCCTTAACACAACATTCCTATTTGTTATAGTGAGAGGGGTGACAATGCATCCCATCCCTCAATAATCTTCACAGCCATCTCATACAGAGGGTTGATTCTAATGCAAAGTGACTAGGTACTAGATTTTAATCGCTACACAGTACTGATACTCAACCTGAACCAGTGGCCAGAAGACCACACTGTCTCCAGAGATCAACAAGGACACTTTTGCTTTCCAGACAAAAACTCAAGAGAACCTCAGGCTTCTGTTGACCAGAATCTATTTGGGTGTTTCTGCTGAAGACTATCGCTCCGTGGCAGCCCATTTGCTCTGGTGTCTCCCAGGACGCCTCAAATACAACAGACTGCTGAAGCTTTCTGTTTACCTTTATATGCAAAGCAGGTTCAAATGAATTGAATGAATGAATGATTAAAGAAGGATTACATGTGTTCAAGGCAACCTCAGATCTCTGCACAACTTTGGCATAGCACAGATATCCCACATTGCTCTATTGATCCGGTGCGGCACTACTTACTCTCAGGCATAAGAAAATACAAATGAGGTTGGTGAGGATCTTAAGTGACACTGAGCACTGAGGAGTCATGAAGGCAAGGTGGGAGGCTGACCTAAGGAATGGTGTAGCCTCATGCACAGAATGTTTACAGGAAAAGAGAACAATGATAAAATGGAGTTTTATTTAACACCAAAAAAATTACTACCAGTGCATCACTCTGTTGGTTGGTGCTGTGTGCCTGCTGGGACTGACTGCCCTAACCAGGCTCAGTGGGTTGCCAAGCAGAAACTCAGGCTTACCATCTGAGCAGGTGAATTTGACCCCAAAGTACACATATGTTCACTGTTAGGGACTTGGGAAAAGACTGTAATAACCAAGTCCCTAACCCTGCCAACAGAACTGAATGAACCAAGTGACAAAGCTTTCGTCAGCTATTTCACTTCAGACAACACCTTCAAAGCAGCTTTTCTTGGGTCTTAAACACACCCCAGAAGTCAGGAATTAGATTCCATTGTGTTTCAACCTCACAGGCATGACAGCTTCATAGCCTAGACAATGCCGTAATACATCTTGATTTTTTTCTATTAAATTAAATATGAAATAAGGACTAAACTCCATATACATATAGGTTTTTGATTTTATTATATTATAGAAATTGTATTTTGGATCCCATGGAAAAGTAAAGAGACTTGTACAGGATTTTTCTGTTTTGTTTTGTTTTTTAAGAAAACATGATACATGTGGGAGGGAAGATCCATTCCTACTGCATTCAAGAATAAAACTTTGTAGTACTGTGAAAATTAAACTAGTTTCTATTCATCTTAATTATGGCAAAACAGCTTGTTATTAAAGTCCTTTGTCTTACTACACTCTAATTCTAAGACTGTTTCAGAGGCTCAAATTACACAAATGCTCAATTCCTGATACTGATGGCCTCACATTTGGTGCTTTTTCAGAAAATAAAAACAATAAGAGAAAATAAGATTAGTGGCTAAACATGATTGGGCTGACCTTGTGCCACTGAACAATGATGGCATGCAAAGGCAGCTGTCACCTCAGTCACATCAAGGCAGAGCAGAGAGCCTCAATGCTTTGGGAAGCCACAAAGGGGGGGGGGGGAGACGACACGACACAGAAGTAGCCAGTACAGGACTGAGTGCAGTGGACACTGGCTCACACACACTGGATTTCGTGGAGCACTGTGGTAATATGCACAAGGCTGAACATCTAACCCTCAAACACCACAAGGGCTGAAAATCCCAGCCACTCTGACCCTGCAAGCTACCAGATAATGTCCACATTAGCAGCAAAATAAACTTAAGTAACCTACTGGAAATACTTCCCAAGAGGTATTCATGAGAGAGAGAGAGAGGGAGAGAGAGAGAGAGAGAGAGAGAGAGAGAGAGAGAGAGAGAGAGAGAGAAAACAAAAGGACAGTGCAGAAATCAAAACTGCATGCACATATGCACTGCAGTCACTTCACAGAAACACTGGAAAGGGAGTTTGTATGGACCTGGGAGCCATGAGTCTTAGTATTTAATAACACATAAACTCAACATGCTATATTTAATGACAAAGTGACAAATGTTACTCTAAGAATCAAGACCATGATTCTCTTGATATTGAAAAAAAGAAGAAAATACTAAAAAACTGGGCTGGAAAGTATTTCCAAGCAATTACCACAAGGCTTGGAAAACTGTTTTTGCCTGTGAGAATTCAGTGAGGTTCCCCTCTTGATATATAATAATGCAATTTGCAACTACAAGCCAGAGGGAATATATGCCAGACTCTGCTAGAGTTCTAGGTCTGAGATAAACTCTTCAGAACAGAGCAGACATAAGAGTTCCCGAAAAGCAGTCAAAAAGAAGACTGATGGGCAGGATCCAAAGTGCACTGCAATGCTTTGTCTCATGTCATGTCAACACACCGTCAAGCAGCTCTTGGCAGGAGGCAACTTCTTTCTTTTCCAAGCAACAAGACAAGGCTGTAAGCATGCACACAAGGGGCAGTAGAGATCCTCAACATCTGACAGAAAAAAGCCACATCAGGGAAGGAAAATGCTATCAACTCAGGCTTCCATCTTGGAATAGAATTTTTTTCTGGGAATCTTTCAAAGGCATTAACTGTTCTGCTACAGTTTGAAATTCCAATGGCCTTAGAGACCAAATTTAGAATTAAAAAAAAAAAAAAAAAGTGACTGGCTTTCTGACTATCCAAAATCTGCGCAATCTTAGAACATATCCAAGGAGTCAAGACAGGTGAGGGTATGCATATCACTGCAGATATGAAGGTAGCAAAAGATTTTATGTCTACCTCTGAAACCTCTACCTGTGGCAGTAGGAGAAAGGACAGTCACCACCTCCCCCCATGTCACCTTCCTCTTGAGCCCATTTATTAGTAATATACATCAATCCTAGACTAGCTGAGTATATATACCTGAGAAACATTAGTGTTAAGATATTGCCCTTACAAAAACTGGTAGATGGGGCCAAAGTGCAGAAAGCAAGTTTTCCCTCAGTTTATTTTGTTGTTAGCGTCACAGTTTTTGTTTTTTGTTTGTTTTTTAAGCTCTTGATGCCATTCAACAATCTACATGAAGATAAATCCTGCTCAGATGAAACCTAAGTCAAACAGTTCATCTGTCTACACACTGATAGCTTAATTGGTTCACAGGTTTCCAAACCCTAGTGTCTAACAAAAGTCATTAGAGTTTTCTAGAAAGAAATAGGTACAATTGTTAAGGGACTATCCAGATTATTTTCTACAGTTATTCCAGTTAGCTTGGTATCAATGCTTTGCCTATGGCTGTTATTTGGTTCAATGGCAGAATAAGGCGACGCTTTTAACAATTTGAATTCCACACACGCACACTCATACTCTCTCACAAAGTCAGGCACATGACCCCCAAAAAATACAAAATAAAAGCATAGAGGGCTTTAGTGGGAAGGGAAGAGTTCTAAATAAATAAACAAACATCTGTACAGATAAAACACCCGGATTGCAGAAGATCACTGAGGTTTTTGAGAAGGCCGTGCAGAGGTTTGCATGCTAGACGACAGCTTTTTGGAGCCTTTCTCAGTGGCCAGCCTGCTACTGGGAGACAAAGGAACTCCGGAATCTAGCTGGGAAGACTTGGATCTGCGAGCAGATAGCAAGGAATGTTTAGCAGAAGCAGGGTCCTTGGAGACAAGCTGTTCTTTTCCAACTGCATTTGTGTTTGGCTGCTGTGAGCCTGGGGGCTGATGGCCTTTCTCTGCCTTGTCATCTGTTGTGTTCTTACTGACTGACTTGACAGAGCTCCCACCAGCCTTTTTGGACAGCAAGGTTGTCTTGCCAAGATCAGTAGACCGCCGGGTTTCTTTCTGTCTCAAGGCTGACTTAAAGAAGGACAGTCCTTTGTCCTCAGACTTGCTGTCCCTCTTCAACCCAGAGCGCACACTTGTGCTAGGTGAACGCAGACTGGCCATGGAGGAGCTCCGAACGTGTTTGCCATCAACTCTGCTGTCCCCTGCTCTGGCCTGATTCACTCGAGGGGAGCTGGGTTTGGAGGTGGAGGTGGAGGTGACACTGGCCCTGTCAGAACCTAAGCTTTGTCTAGAACCCTCTCTACTCAAGCTCCGGTCAGAAGTCCTGCTCTTCCCAGAAGGGAAGGAGCCCCTGGTGGCAGGGCCTGGGGCTTTTTTGGCAGATATGGAGGAAGAGGAGTAAGTGAAGGCAGAAGCAGACTTTTGCTTCTGTGGTGAAGGAGAGGACATGGATTCCTGGGACTTGGGGGATGATTCTTTTTTGGGTTGGGTAGAGGCAGGTGACGAATGTCTTCCACTGGCCCTGGAAGAATCTGCTTTGCTCCGACATCGAGCAGGTTTCATGGAAACCTTCACAGGAACAGGTGAAGAAGGGGATGGGCTTGAAAGAGAAGATTCCTGGCTGGCCAAGGCCGGCCTCCCTTTCCGCATGCTCTTCTCTGGCTCAGAAGTGCCTTTGGAACTAGGGGATCTCTTGGTTGTGCTCTCTGGCCTCTTTGTGAGGGAGTCTGAGTGGCTTGGAGGTTTTACCTCTTTGACTGGAGAGCTGTCAACAGAATCACTCTGATCCACATAAGCAATCTGGTTATTATTATCAAAAGGATCAGAGATGGGGGCCAAGCAATCCCCTTGTGCTAGATTTTTGCTTGGTGTGTCTACAACACTGGAGTTCAATTTTCGAGAGTCTGACTCATCTTTGAACACACCTTCCATGACAGCCAGTGGGGCCCGGCCCACAGCCTTGTGCTCTCTTCTACTGTGACTATCACTTGATTCCTGGTGGCTACCAGAAAGGTTCCGTAGACTACCGAAGCAAGAAATGGAGACTTTGTCATCACCTGCCTCCCCAATCCTTTCAAGGGTGGAGGCAGATCCATGAATCGGGGAGTCCCCTGAGAAGCGGGAAGGAGAACTGGAGCGCATCTGTAGCTTGGCAGACAGGGACCAAGAAGGCCGCATGCAATTTTCATTGACGGCCAAGGGGCTGGTGACGGAAGATCTAGATGACAGGCTTTGACGTTGCACACTTCTCACAAATGGTCGAGTAGAAAAGCCTCCTGCACAGCACAGAAAATTCTGTCAGTTTAAACCAACAAAAATACTTAGTACACCTTAAGACTCTGAAGATAGAGCAAGGGCAAGTCTGATGAAACACTGAAGATAGAGCAAGAGCAAGCCTGATGGAACAGGACTATGACCTTCAAAGCTGGCCTGTTTACTAGAGTCAAGGATAGCTGTGTGCTTTCAACCCTTTGAGGACCAGTTCCCTTATCTACAAAATAGAATTATGCTAACTCTGAAGTCAGCAAAATGTTCTCCATCTACTTCCTCCTACATCAGGGTCAGCACACTTCCTTGAAAGATCCAGTCAGTCTGTCAGGCAGTTCAGGCAATTGCTCAGCTCTGTGATTTTACCATAAAAGCAGCCACACAATTAAGCATGGATGGTTATGTTCCAAAAACTATGGATAAACCAGCCATCCACATGTGGCCTCTGGCTAGTTTGCTGACTGTTGATCTAATCAGATAATTAAATGAAATCTTAGAAGTCTGTGTCTAGCAAGGAGCCTGCCACTCCCAGATGTTCACTAAACATGGGCTGCTACATCTTCCTGAAGGACACCTGGAACTCACAGAATGAACTCTTTGGCCAAAATGACACAAGACTCATGACCCCACTGTGTTCCCTGTAGAAGTAAGTCTGTAACAGGTAACAATGAAAGGTCATTAGTGGAAAGAACTAGAGCCTTGGATATTATACATACTACCTTGAGTGACTGGTAGACTAGTATTTCCAATGGCTTAAACCTCCTGAAGACAATTCCAAGCTGAATTCTGTATACATTTTATTACTGTAGCTGTGGCCTTTGTGATTTCTGAGTCAGATTCTGTTCCATGTTACTACTGAACATAACTAAATGATGATGATGCTTAAGAAAATATTGATTTCACCAACTAGACTGTTTAAAAACAGATTTAGGCAAGCTACTTTTGGGTTTTTGTTAAAACAACAGCAAATTCCAAGTTTACAGGGCTGTGATGAAACTAATGTCCACCTAAATAGGCACAGGCTCACTAGTCAGCTTTTTATAAAATACTATGAAGGAGAAAGGGCTTAGCAACAATTATCCCATATATCCCTGCTTCACAAGGAAATGAAATAAAATGCCAAGGCAGGTAGAGCCACAGCCATGCCACAGCTCTGCTAGCTTGACTACTTTCCAACCACCTTCCATTTCAGCTCCATTTTATTTTCTCAGAATTATCCATCGCTCCTAGAAAACTTATATGCCATCCTATAGCCTTCATCCAGCAGCTGGTGGAAGTAGAAGCAGACACCCACAACTAATCACCGAATTGAACTGAAACCCAGTTCAGAGAAGGACGAGTGAAGAGCACAGGGGTCCAGACCAGGCTGGTGAAACCCACAGAAACAGCTGAACTGAACATCGGGGAACTCTTGCTCCCCAGATTGATAGCTGGAATACCAGCATGGGACTGATCCAGACCCCAGAAACATGGGTTTCTGTGAGGAAACCTCGGAAATCTACAGGACCTCCTGTGGAAGTTCAGCACTTATCCCTAGCATAGGTGTGGACTTTGGAAGCCCATTCCATATAGAAGAATACTCCCTGAGCCAACACACACGGGGGTGGGCCTAGGCCTTATCCCAAAGGATACAATAGACACTGATGACACCCTATGGAAGGCCTCATCATCCAGGGGGAGCAGAAAGGATATGTGAT